TTAATCTGGCAAAGGAAATTCCAAGGCAGTCGAATGTTGAGGCTGTGGCATGGCTATTGTTGGGAGCTTTTAGCCAGCTTTACGTTGCAAATCAAGAGCAAAGAGCCCAGCAGAATAATTTAAAATGCTGTGAGTTTGGCCAAAAGAAAAACTCCAGTAAAGTTGTAGATTATAAAAATAAAACTGAGACTTCGTGAAAGGGTTTTGGCCCAGATGGGACACTGTAGCCAGAAAAGACCTCAGCCAGAATCAGGGAGCTTCTGTCTCCCCTGCCCCTAGAGATTTACCTGTAACCCTATATCCCCCCACCCTTTGGAATCTGCTCCTTGCGCCAAACGTGTGCCAATGAAATACCTGTGCATCTCTAATGGCCTTAGGGCACTGCCCTAAGCTTAGGCTACTTACATTCCCCCACGCCACGTGTCCACGAGATAGATCACCAGACTTCAGTGGCCAGGGTGCCAGTCATCTCTCTCCATGTTCTCAGAATAAAGGCCTCTTTTGTTTTATACTTCTCATCTTTTGGAAATACTTTTCATCTTTTGGAAATAATCCTATCACTTTGATTGCTGAAAAAAAACCAGAGAGATAAAAAAGATGGCCACGGGGCATTCCAGGAAGCAGTGGGTCTCCACCCTTTGCACCCTCAAAACTGAAAAAGTGAAAAAAATTTGCTCAGAGAAAAAAGTTGCAGAGCACCATGCTCCAAAAGAGTGACAGAGTCACACAAAGTTGCAAAATGGCAACATAAAAAAGCTTTTCCTCACAACCAGATAAACAGAGCCCAACAATCCAGACACTAGATCCCTATAGCAAAAAAAAAAAAAAAAAAAAAAAAGAAAGAAAGAAAGAAAAGAAAAAAGCCTGGCTACTACTCCAACTGACAACAAACCTTGGTGCATCCGCATGGTGCTGATTTTAGGTACAAAAAAAAAAAAATACACAAATTCTGAGGGTAAGAGGGCTTCTACCTCGATTGCAAAGAGCCTGGGAGGCCAAATAGTGTACCCCTGAGAAAACAATTTATAAAGATATAAAGATAAAGCCAAAGATACAATAAAAACCCCAAAAGTTTAAAAAAGCCAAAAACATAGATCATCCAAAAAAAAGCTACAAAAAGCGAACACAGGGGGTTTTTTAAAAAAGCTTTGGGAGCTAAAATACCTAAAAGTGCCATAAAAATAAAATCACCCAAGCCTTTTAGAGCTTATAACCAGGTTGCTTCAGACGCTAAACAAAAAAACTCTAAAATTTTTGAAGGATTTTTTTTTGTCGGTACCGAGTATTGAACTCACGACTGCCTGCTTGCAAGACAGGTGCTTATGCTACTGAGCTAAATCCCCAGCACTAAAAACTCTAAAATTTAATGTTCACCCTGCTAGATGTTAGACTTACTTTGTTTCCAATGCTTTATATTCCCCTATTTACAACTTTTAAAATGATAATGTTTATCTTGTGCCTTTACATTTCAAAACTGTTTAACCTTGTTTCATTTATACAGCAGTTACAGATAAAAATTTGCCATAGATCTTAAAAGACACTTAAAACTTAGATTTTTCAGTAATGCTAAAACTGTTAAGACTGTGACAACTCTTAGAGATAAACTAAATGTCATTTATATAAAAGATGTGCATGAGTCCTGGGGGCCAGGGATGGAATGTCATGGTTTATGTCTGGTGGCCTCAGGTCTCATACATTTACATTATACATTTGTGATTGGCTCATTGTCTAGTGCTTAGATTGATGGTGTCAGTGCTACACCTACCTAGAGGTAGAGCCAACATACAATAATGACCAAAAAAAGATGTCTCTCTCTCTCTCTCTCTCTCTTGCCAGTTTCTGCCTTGCTGTTTGCAGCCACCATAAACTATGGCCCCACCATGCCACCCAGCCTTTGAGCCAACTAAATATATACTAAAACCTCCAAAAACTATAAAAAATAAAGCTTTCCTTTCCCAACTTTGGGCATCAGATATTTTGTCTCAGCAACCAGTTAAAAGTAACTAAGACAGATGTCTTTTCCACTTTCACACTGTCTGCTCTAATGCCTCATCAATTCCCCAGGTCTTTGTTACATAATCCCCCCCCCCCCATCTCTTTGGAACTAGGTGTAGTACAAATAGAAAGAGCATGCTTCCTGGAAGGAGAGGGACTTGGGCTATAGAGGGCAGCACCGTTATGCTTAACTGATGCATAATCCCATTTACAGCGACAACTCCATGCTTTAATATTAGGTCCCAGTTTAAATGACGAGGTGCATGTGCTTGAGGAGATCCAGCAACTCTTTCTCTCTTACTTAGATACCTAAGGGAGAAGTGGTTCTGGGTAAATGGCTTTGATGGGGACACTCTGGGAATTTGGAAGCCTGCATGACAAGCCAGCTGGATCCTGATTGGAGTCCCAGCTCTGCTCTTATTGGATGTGACACTTCATTCAAATTACTTTTCCTTTACAGCCTATTTTCTCTGTCCCTATCTTCTATACTGGGTTATTCAGATAAGATAAGGGAGATGGAGCATTCAACATGATGCCTAGCTAATACGTAATCAGCCATTGTTAATAATATTGAGACAGTTTCTTTGACATAATTTCAAAGCTTTGAATATGAGATGATAGTGGACTTTGAACAGTTATCAGACGTATGCTAATGAACAACAGAAGGGAGCAGAGTCTCCACTGAAGGGTTGTTTACAAAGTGTAATTTAAAAATCCTAAAGGATGCTGGACCTCTAACTGTGGGTTCATAGTCATGGGTTCAAGTGAATGATCAGTTGGTGCCCATCCTAGGGTAATTTAATTTCCCTGAACCTCATTTTCTCCTCCTGTGGAACACTGATTCAAGGGAAATCAATGGTTTTGATGGGGATGGTGTTGTTCCACAGATATGAACATGCTGGCAGCCCAGTCACTGAAATCCCAAATCCTGCTTCCAGTGGTGTTTGGCGGCTGACATGACTGCGTCTCTGTCACAAGGCTGCTGGGAGCATGAAAGCCATTGTTACAGTGGTTTCATCTGAAATGAGCTGCAGCCACCTCAGGACATGACACAGGCATATTCCCCAGGAGAGCAGACCCTTCCCCCACTAGACCAGCATGACGAGCCACAGGCTCATCCTGTCAGAGACTGTGAGGACACCTCTGTCCGCATGGTCAGTTTTAGCAGAAGCCACTGCAGCTCCCTGGCCCCAGTGGCTGCCTGTCAGCTGATACTTGTCTCATCAAAAAGGCATGTACTACAAGATGTGGTCAACTAAGAACAAATCAGCTGTTAACACAGGAAACGTTGATGCTCTTTAGCTCGAATAGTAGTTTGGACATAGATAATACTTAGTGGTAGACTGAGGTGTTTTAAGAATTAACATTCTGGGCATCAAGGGCTATAAAAGTCACACAGTGCCTGACACACCATAGACTCCACCATAGTGAGTTACATTGAGAGGATGAGTGGAAGAAAGAAGGGAAAAATTAGTGGGCAAAAAAGCCTAGGACTTCAGATATGTGGGCTATGATCCATATAGCTTGAATGGCCTTAGATAAATCCCCACCTGGTACCTCAGTTTCTCCCCTGATCAAAAGAAACATCTGCTTCACTGGTTTGTTGTGAGAAGGAAATCAAATAATGTAGTTAGAAAGGCATGTGGTTGAAAGCACCTGAGAGTCATAAGACCTGAACTGTAAATCAGCATCACTTCAATGCAATATACTTCATCAAATATTTACTGAGTCCTTCCGCTTTGCCTGGGATTGTGCCCAGGTGCGGGAATCGCATGAGAGATGCATACACCAGGAAGGCTTGCTGCTGGGAATATGGCAACTAGGATGGAGGCAGATCCAGCTTCTGTGTCCTAGGACTTTTGTTTATTTTGCATAGATTCATAATGGGTTCCCTGAACTCCACTCTGGTTGCTTTGCCCCAATCCTTGCTCATACAAAGCTTGCAGTCAGTAAGGGGAACAAAACCTGTAAGTACAAATTTCCAGAGCAGTGTGGTAAAGGTAACCATGGTGGTGCACAGAATATACACAGAAGGAACAAGGAGACAGATGAACTGAGGAGGACAGCGAGAAAAAGGTTCTTGAGGGCAGAGTGTGCGGGCCAAATCACGGATAATAAACAGGAATTCCTACAGAAAGGAAAAATAGAGAAAGAGTGTTGCAGATAGCAGGACATATCCTGTGCAAAGCCAAATAGGACATTTCTTGTTCCAAATTCTGCCAAGAAATAGCTCTTTCTTTTCTTCTGTCTTTCCTTTTGTTTGATCATCCTGCCTCAGCCTCCTCCAGTGCTGGGATTACAGGTGTGTACCACCATGCCCAGTTTCAGAACTGGCTCTTTTTACCCTTGCTGACTTTCCTCCAAATTCCCCCAGGATTTCAACCTTATCTCAGGAAATGAAGGTTAGGTGGTGGCAACAGGCAATTTAGATTTACCATAAAGTGCTTTCTATCTGGAGACCTCCTTGCAGCACAAACAAGAAAAGCGGGCAACTTTGAGAAATCATCAAGTTACTTTTAGAACCAGTCAGAAGCCCCACTATTTGTGACAGTCGTGAAGACAGGCACAGCGCTTGGCGGGACTTGCAAGCTTTTGACTTTATGATGCAGCAAAATGTTCCCATACTGAAGTCAGGTGTGGTAATGCCCATCTGTCGCCCCAGCGCTCAGGAGGTTGAATCAAAAGCATCACTGTGAGTTCGAGGTCAGCCTGAGCGAGCGAGTTCAAGGCTGGCCTGGATTATATAGTGAGACCCTGTTTCAAAAAAACAAACACAATCAAAATGTACCCACACCACTATTTGTTTTTCACTTTCAGCACAGCAGTCAATGAGACAAGATATTTAACCCTTGATTATGAGACAGGCTTTATAGCAAATGATTTTGCCCAACTGCAGACTGATGGAAGGTAGGATAGGACAATATCGACTTAATAAAAATTCCAGGTTTTTATTGGAATGGGTTAATCCAGACGTGACTGCAATGTCCTCGATCCAGATGCATCTGTAGTTGGAAACTGGTACCTACTTTCTGCCCAGAGTGAGTGCATGGGGGCAAGACATAGGAGCGCAAGGGCAGAGGACGGGTGGGTGACAGGCCTGTCTCCTAGCCAGATAGAACTTCCGGCTTCTGCACCCTGCTTCGCCTTCTCCAGGAGGCCACACACGTTTTCAGCTGCCAATTCTTTGCCTTCGCCCAGCAGCTTTCCCCGGGTAAGCTTGGAAGAGGTGCCGCGCGGGCACAGCAGTCAGGTCCCTAGCCAAGGCGCCTGCGGGACTACAGCACTCCGACGGGAGCAGCCAATGAGGGGCGCCGGCGCGGGAGGCGGGACCCAGCCTGGGTATAAGAGAGCAGCGCTGCTGTCCCGGCCGCAGTGCTGAAGCCCGCGGCCCCACAGACGTCTGGTGTCTCCCTCTCTGAGCTTCTCTCAATTAGCTCAGAGAGCTCCAAGAAGAGGGCAAGGTACGCGTTCTGTTTATTCGCGTCTTTTGCATCAGCCGGTGTGCCTTCAAGACCTCCCGCGGGCTGCAGCGGCTGCGGTCACCTTGACCAGGCGTTTCTCCTTCCGCTTCGCCTCCGCCAGCCCGGCCGCCCCGTCGACGATGCGGCTGCTCTGGAAGCTGCGCGCCGCGGCTCCGGAGCCCGCCTGCGCCAACGTGCTCACCCCGGGCCGCATTCCTGAGTTCTGTATCCCGCCGCGGCTGCCCCCGCCCGGCCCTCCCGAGCCCCCGCTGCCCGCCGGGGTGCTGCCGCGCCGCTGCGCTGCCGAACAGGACCTGTGGCCGCGCGCGACCGACAGGGACCCGCGCTCGCAGGCTGCGCTCTCGCTGTCGCACCTACCCCGTGCGCGCACCGCCTACGGCTTCTGCGCGCTGCTCGAGAGCCCGCACACGCGCCGCAAGGAGTCGCTCTTCCTCGGGGACCCCGCGCTGCGCCCCCGGGCCCGCACCTACGGCGGCGGAGAGGTGGGAGCCGCACACCTCGTGCCCCCGCGGGCACCAACCAGCGCTGCCCCCTGCCCGCCCCGGAACGCGCCCGCCCCAAGGCCCTGCAGCCGCCGCCGCCCCCTCCTGTGCGCCCCCGACCGCCTGCTCAGCCGCGCGCTGCGGGCCCGAGGGAGTCATTGCTCGGTCCGCGGCCGTTCGGTGTCCAGCGGGGACAATGACGACCACGGCGACGGTGACAGCGACGAGCGCCACGCGGGCGCGCAGCCCCCTACCCCGGCCGTCACCGAGCGCCTGCCGGCCAAGAGCGTCGCCACTCTGGACCCCGATTCCTGCGCGCGTGGCGGGCGGCTCCGCCTGCGGCTGCTGCGCCCCAAAAGCTCGTCCGCGAGCTCCCGCGAGTCCTGCGCTTCCGGCCGCTGCCTCCGTCTGGCCCTGCGGCCCCTGGGCGCCACGCACGATCAGCGCCGCCTAGTGCTCGGCCCAAGCCGCGGGTCGGCTCCCTACCCAGAGCCGAACTCAAACTGCGCCAGGGCCTCAGGGGAGCCGGCGCACCGCTTGGCCTTGCGCATCCCGGCCAGGGCCTCAGGGGAGCCGGCGCACCGCTTGGCCTTTCGCATCCCGGCCAGGGCCTCAGGGGAGCCGGCGCACCGCTTGGCCTTGCGCATCCCGGCCAGGGACACAGGGCGCCCACGGGGACGGGGCTCCCTGCTGCTGGGCTCGCTTCTTGTGCTGCCCTGAGGACTCACGGCCCACTGCCAGGGACTTCCGCAAACTGAAAGCTGTTTTGTACAAAATAAATGTTATTTATTCATTTTTCTATTTAAGATTTTTGCTTTCTTGATGTTTTCGTTACTTGGCGTCCACCTTTGTCTTGATTTAGTTGAAGAAAATGATAATGAACCTGTAATCCCAGCACTCTGCTGAAACAGGAGGACTGTTGCAAGTTCGAGACCAGCCAGGGCCATAAAGTGAGGGCATCATGAACTGTATAGGGAGACCCTGTCTCAAAAAGACAAAAACAAAACAAAACAAAAAAGTGGATTAGAAAGAATCGGATATTGGGCCTAAAGAGAGAGGCACTTGTTTCCATTTCTGATTTTTTTTTTTTTTTTTTTTGTCTCTTTTGAGACAGAGTCTCACTATAGAGTTTAGGCTGGCTTCGACCTCACTTTATATCTCAGGCTGATCTCAAACTTGGAACTAGTAACGTTACTCCTGCCTCAGCCTCCTGAGTGCTGGGATTGCAGGTGTGGGACACCACCCCTGGCTTCTGGTCTACTTTTATTCAGACGAAAAAGAGGTTGATTTGGACTGGAAGAAAGAAAGGAACAACAACCATCTGCCTAATTTTTCCTTTCTTCCTGCTGTCTGCAAATATAGATGGTTAATGAGTTTTTAAAACTTCATTGACAACGTTAAGCCCTCTATGTATAACTTTGTGTGACAATGACCTGGTGATAGACCTGTCTGTGTGCACACAAATCTAGAGACCCTCTTCCCTGGCAAGGATCCATGACTTCCTTTCTTACTGAGGGAAAAAATCACACTCTGTGTGTGGACGCGTGTGTGTGTGTGTGTGTGTGTGCACACACACACAGGGTTCTTTTGAAAGTGAATTCTTCAAAAACTGCTGAGGAAGAGGAAAATGAAACAGAGGATCTTCAAACAGGCAGTAGTGGGCAATTGATACTCCTGGCATCTCTTTCTTCCAGAAGGCGCGGGGGGAAGTCTTTTCCTGCCTCTGTAATTTTGTCACTGATATTTTTTTTGTGGCGTTGTTTACACCTAGCTGTGTCTAAGTTACATAATAGTTACCTTAGCAATAAGATTTCCCAGGTGATTTGAAGTGTAAATTGTCAGTCTCTTGATTGCAGGGTTCTAATCCAGGGTTTCAAAATCCAATATTTTTTCATTTGTTGATTCAATATATAGATATGCATCTATTGGAAACTATTGATTCTAGCTTTGACCGTAGATACCCTTGCTGCTGTGGAAAGTACCCTGCAGTGGGACACATAGACTGTAGTTTTTTTTTTTTCTGTCACTTGGTGTAGGTCTGAACTACGGCAAACCAGGTCATGTTCTAGGGCCTCATTTTTTCATCAGTGGAGTGGGGTAATATCTACCCCTAGGCTTTCGGCCTTAGTCACCAAATACCTCTGGAATATCCGTGAATTTGGGAAGCAGAGGGCAGCCTGGTGTGGGGGCTCACCCTGTAAATACCAGCACTCCCGAGGCTGAGGCAGCAGGATTGCTATGAGTTCAAGGCCAGCCTGGGCTACATAGTGAGTCCAAAGCCTCCCTGAATTACAAGGCAAGACCCTGTCTCAAAACAAACAAAAACCAAACCAAACCAGCAAACAAAAGCAGAGCTCAAAGGCCAGAACAGCACAGCTAAGTGAGTTCTCAGTGGTGTTCCAGGACTCTGGTTCTTCTGTTTTTCCCATCATCTCAGCCTGATGCTGGAGTGGGGCTTGAAGAAAAGATGGCCTTCTAAGGGTCATCTAAGGGCTGTAGATTCCAGCCGCAAACTTCTGTATGTTACCATTTGCACTCGTTACATAGGAAAGCTCTTTACTTTTGTTGCTATCAAAATGAGGTTTTGGGTGCAAATTTAACCAGGCTACATAACAATTCTGGATTTTATATATAATTTCAAAGTGGATATTCCTTTAAAATCATCAAATCACTTTTGGAACTGAGAAAACACCACAGAGAAAACATGCCCAAAGCCATGGATGTGTTGCTGTGTGTAGCAGAAGCAAGCTGTTCTGCCACCTCCAGGTGACCGACCTAAGCTTTGTTTTCTTGACAGCTGGTCATTTGAGCCCTTCTCTGTGCCAGGCATAGTACTAAGCCCAGGGAATGCAGCTCTGTACAAGACAGATGAGCGGGTAGCCAAAAATAGCCATGTTTTTATTATCACAGGTTACAGCAACTATCATCATACCACTGAGCTAAGGAGAGTGACAGAGACCACCCAGGATGGGGAGCTGTGGCAGAGGCAGATGGTCTGAGAAATAGGGCAGGGCAGGTTGCCCTGAGAACTGAAAACCGAACCGGTGACAAGAGGAACTCAGTGTAGATAAACAACCACCTAGTACATCCTGTTGCCCTAACAGGTGTGTTAATAGGCTTTGGTTCCTTTCCTACATCGTCTAGGCTTCCTCGTCTTCGTTAATGGCACCATTGCCCTCCTGTCCCGCAAGTCATGTGGAATCACACTTGGTGCCTGTCTCTTACATTCCCCACCTCTCGTGTAAGTGACACCTTCCCAAAGTCTTCCCCTTGCTGCTCTGTCTGAAAATAGTGCCATCATTACTGTCCCGTCCCACGTCCTTCTTGTCCTTCATAGCACCAACACTACTTGACAGCTCGCAGTCCTGTGCTGGTGCACTTTGCACATTTTCCTTTCCCTAGGAATGACACCTTGAGAGGCCGGAGCTTTGCTCACTAATCCATTACCTGCCTCCCATGGCTAACACTACATGGCGTACATCAAACTCTCCACAAGCACAGTCCTGCCTACACTGCGTGCTGCACGGAGATGGGATGACATAGCGAAAGCAGCATGAAGAGGGGGCCTAGGACCGAGCTTAGAGTCAGGCCAACATTTACAAGTTCATTAAAGGAGGAACCCAAGACCGAGCAGCCGTGGAGGCAGGAGGGGACCAGGTGTGTGTGGCAGGTGAAGCCTGGATAGCAAAGTGTGAAGAACAGGGAGAATTTGAGGCAATTGAAGACAAGCTGGGAAGTCAAGAAGATGAGATAAGGACACAGGTGAGTGTCCACATGGACCCGTGGTGACTTTGACAAGGGCAGTTCAGGAGGGTAGGGTTGACAGGAGCCAGACCAGCGTGTGTTAGAAATGTGGCAGGGAGGCGAGGAGGAGCAGACAGAAGTCCTGACAAGGAAACAAGGAGTGTGAGACAGCAGGGCTGTCACTGGAGGAGAACTCGGAGTCTGAGGTTTATTTTGGTTTAATGTGGAAGAATCTCAGTATACCTGGACTATCCAGACTACAGGAGATACCACAGGGAAGAGAACAGGAAGCAGAAGTAATAAGTCTTTGGAAAGCAGGAGTGGCCCCAGAATACATGTGAGAAGAAGCTGCTATTGAAATCCACCCAGGGGGCTGGGGATTTAGCTCAGCGGCATAAGTGCCTGCCTTGCAAGCAGGCATCGTGAGTTCGATCCCTGGTACCGATAAAAAAAAAAAAAAGAAATCCACACACCTTGTCCTGCCAGGCACAGAACCTTTCCTCCTTGGGCCAGGTCACACTTGGAGCTCTTGGAAGTTGGCCAGTGACATCCAGCACCACAGAGTCCACTCTGGAGCGAACCTGGCACGTGATTCTAAAGGCACTCCCAGAAGACCAAGGAAGTTCTCACCCAAATGACCTCGGCAAGCTTCTTTATCCAGCATTTTACTGACCCAAATTGGTCTGCAATCCCATACTGAACCAATCCCCGCCACAACAAAGCTGTGGGTTGTAGAATTATCAGGCTGTGGCTTAGTCAAGTCTGAGGTCAGCACCAGCAGAGACCGCAGCAGACCAGCAGAGATACTTCCTTACTGCTGAACTAGCAAAAGACCAAAAACCTTGGCTTTGAAAACAGGCTCTGTGAGCCCTTGGAGGAAATGGTTTTTCCTGAAAACCTGTTTTATCTTTTCTACAATACCTAGTATGAAGGGTTAAAGATGATTTCCCTTAGTCATAGCAAGATATCTAGTGCTGAGACTGGGTAGCTCTTTGTTTCCAAATAAAATTTAAACCTTCCCTCTTGCTTATGCAGATGAACACAATTCTGCACAGTGGCTCTTTGCACACCTGTGGTTCCACTCCTAAGTCTGTACAAAGGGCAGTCTATAAGAACATGCCCGAGTGGCTGCACTAAAGGACATAAACACGAAGAATCACATCTTTCCATTCCAGTGGGTGTGCATGTCAGACTCCATCTGCCATGTGCGAGACAGAGGTCTGCATCAGGTCTAATTCCTGCCTACAGCGTCATGTGACTGCTACTACTGTTTATCCTTATACAGGAAGCCCGCATTTTATTTGGTGAATAGAGTAGGATTTCTTTTGCAGGTCGGCAAAGTTCCTGGTTTACACAGAACCAGCATTTCCTGTTTCTGTCTGTGAGGAGATGGTGCCTCCCGGGTGAGAACCAGCCTGAAGGCTTGAAATTGTATCTTCACCTCCTGGTCACTTGGGCCTGAGCTGCGGAGTCTTCCCCGAGATGCAATCAGCCTAGATCTCTATCGTTACCATCAACACCTGTCTTAATTTTACTTTTTGAATAATTCGGGTTTACACAATGTTATAACCTAAGCCCCCCTAGCTATCCTAAGGTCTGTTCTAAGGTATAAGCCCACCTGCTGCTTCCCCTCCCCTTCTCCCTTCAAATTTAACTAGGTTAAGTTTTAACTTCCTAAAGGCCATAAAACAAAGGCCTGAGGTAATAGCTCCTCTTCCCTACCCGGTAGCCCATCACAAATTGTGTTAATTGCATCAGATTGTATTAGATTGTACATTCTTCACAAAAATAGCTTCCTTTATATCATAACTTGTCCTTACTGTAAATGTGTGTTTTCCTTTCCCTCTGGGCAAAAGATTGATATGTTAATCGATGCTCTCCTCTGTAAAGAATTGTAAAATCTTACCTAATTGATATGTTAACCATTGTTGCCCTCTACAAATAGAACAGTTGTGGTGCTAAAGTAAGGTAACTAAGGTTGTTAATTGCTGTTAGACCTCTCTATTCTTTGCTAAGAAAAACAAGATTTCTTCTTATCTAAGCTTGCTAGTATGCAGGGAGA